CCACCCAACAGCTGAAGAGACCTCTGGGCTGCACCCTCCCCCAGCCTGTTCCGGGGATCAGTTCCGGGAGACCCTTGGGCTGAAGATGCTGGTACAGAGGAGGGAGACCCAGCCTCTGCCCCCCTTTTGCCCAGAGCTGTTGCCTGGGAATTGGGGGCAGGGCTCCTGTTTCGGTTGTCGTGGGAGGCCTGTGGGTGCTGCCTGGGGTCCCTGGAAGGAAAGGGCGCCATGAAGACCCTCTCCAGGACACCCAGGGCCCCCCCGGGCGAAGGTGGTGGCAGGCAGGGCTGGGCTCTGGCTGGCCGGTTGGGCGGGGGAGGGGCTGCTAGAGGCAGTGCAGCAAGTGCCGGGCGTATTGCACCCGCTCGCGCAGGGGCAGCGTCCAGCCCTGCCGTGCCAAGGTGCCCAGAGGGAAAGTGGAGCTGCGACGTTGGTGGTCCACGAAGGTCAAGAGGTCCTCTCCCTCGGCCGAGCGGCTGAGAACAATCTTGGTGCGGTCGTGGTAGAAATTCACCTGGGAGGCAGAAGGGAGGGCAGGGGGGTCGGCTGGCAGAATTGGGCAAGAGGAAGCCGGCACCGTCCTCCACCCGTCCTCCATCTCCATGCCTGGGTCGTAGTTTAACCTTGTCCCACCCCCCTGTATAGCTTTATTCTATTTTGCCATGTTTGGCTCCGATCTGCCACCGTCCCGGCTCAATGCACCCATGGAAACCAAATCTCAGGGATTGGGAGGTTGGGATTGTCCAGAAGCCGAAGCCCAACCCCAGCCGCCCTTTTCCGCGAGTCCAGCAAAGCCTCAGAGGGAAGGAGCCGTGGTAGACGGTGCAGGCCCCGAGACATGCCGGCGGCTGCTCCTCCTGCGAAGCAGCCTGGCACCCCTCCATCCCTCCAGGCAAAGCCCCCTGGCCGCCTCGGAAGGCCCATCGTCTCCGGTGGACAATTCCTGCCTTTCTCTTCCCAGCCTCTGTCATGGATGCTGCGTGTGCCCAGCGACTGGAGCGTCGGCACCTGGCATGTTTAATGTTTGTGCCCAAGTATCCTTCTGGCAGGCTGTCCCTCTGGCGGGTGGGGGGGGGGAGTGAGGATTGGGGGGAGGGAAGGTGGCTGCTTAAGGGGTCTCCAGCCTCCTTTGCTGGTCTTCGCAGTCTCTAACCTCCTCTTTGGGGGGTTGGAGCCGACCCACGGCCACCCTCCCCACCCGAGGGGACGTGAGGGGCCGGCCTCCTCCTACCTGCAGGGTGGCGTCACTGAAGAGCATCAGGAGAGCTTGGTCGGACTTTGCAAACTGCAGGAGGGAGANAGCAATGCCCCCCCCCTCTGCCCCTTGACCTTCCCTAAGGCCGGCTGGAGCGCCTGGCAACTTTCCTCCCATGTCAGACGCTGATCTGGGGAAAGGAAGGATGTTGTATGATCGTTTGCACGTTCTGTGGAATTCCTGTGTGTGTGTGTGTTGTGTTGGAGTATAGGTTGACCCCTCGCAATAGGCTGCCGGCTGAGCTGTTCTCGGCGTTTGCTGGCCTAAAGAGCCGGCTGGTTCTTCTCCTGGCGTCTCCGTCCCTTCCTGCAGCCCAGGGACTTGGTGGGGGCCCCGGGGGCTGCTTTCCCTTCTGGCAGGCGGGCAAGGACCTTGTGGAGGTCCTGCCTTCGTCTTCCTCCCCCCCCCAGGGAGGAAGGAGTCCTGGGCAGAACCGCTTCCTGCCCCACCTGGGAGCCTCACCTGCTCTTCCTTGAACGCAGGAGTGATGCCAGCAGGGAAACGGTGGGAGCAACAGACGCCGAGGCCAAATTCATCCGCAGCCCTTTTTTTATAGCACCCCTGGGAAAAAGTTTATAGCAAAGCAAAACAATATTCATCATCCAAGGCTTATTTTCAGAAACAGCCCTTCGCTTTTTCAAAGGCCGCGTATGGGTAGCAACCATTTTTTGGGGGGGGAGGAATCAGCTCCAGTGTTTCAAAAATAACCGGCTAACGGAAGGGACCTTTTGAGGTCTTCTAGCCCAGCCTGCTGCTCAGGCAGGAGACCATGTGTCATTCCAGACAGATGGCTGTCCAGCCTCTCCTGAAAAGCCTCCAGGGGGGGGGGTTCCAGCAGAGCAGGGCTCTGGCAGGGGGAGCCTTGGGGGGGGGGGGCAAAAGCGGCCGCTGTGAGTCTTTGGAAACCGTCGTCCGCTTCGGGGCTGCTCTGACCTCCTTTTGGCTCCTGTCTGCACCAGGGAGGGCAAATACGGGCACGCGGCCTGCTTTGGGCTGCAGCCCGGCTGCCTCTTGCCGGACGGCAGCCGCCAGACCGCCGTGGCCGCCATGGTGGCTAACTTCACCAAGCCGACGCAGGAGGTGCCTTCCCTGCTGCAGCACGACGAGGTGGAGACCTACTTCCACGAGTTCGGCCACGTGATGCACCAGCTGTGCTCCCAGGTGAGGCGCAGGCCGCGGGGAGGGGGAGTCCCGTCCTGCCCCCGAGGCTGCCCCCCTGACCCTCCTCCCCCCCCCCACTCCCAGGCCGACTTTGCCATGTTCAGCGGGACCCACGTGGAGCGAGACTTCGTGGAGGCCCCGTCGCAGATGCTGGAGAACTGGGTGTGGGAGAAGGTGCCCCTGCAGCGCATGGCCAGGCACTACAAGACGGCCGAGCGCATCCCCTCCGAACTGCTGGAGAAGCTCATCCGCTCCCGCCAGGCCAACACCGGTGAGCGGCCGCCGGGCCTGTGGAGGGGGGCAGCGGGCTTGGTGGGGAAGGGGCCGGCTCTCCGCTTGGGCAGCTCTGGGCTCCAGGGCCGTGGGAGGGAGAGATAGCGGCAGAGAGCCCGAATTGGCCCCCACGAGCCACTCGAGTGTTTGCAGCCTCTCTGTAGGCCGGGCCCCACTTGGGCTCTGCCCCAGCTGTCCTGCAGAGCCAGGGGGAGGACGTGGGGCTGGGCCGAAGGGCCCCAATGGGCAGAAGTCACCCGACTTGAGCCGGGTGTCCCATTCAACCAAGAGGCTGCCTGGGGGGGGGGGGCTGGGGGATCTGTGAAGACCCTTCCTCCTCAGCTGCACTGCAGCACAAGGGATGCCTCCCACAGCACCGGGTGAAGTCTCGCCACCCCACAGGGCACAGCTTCCTCAGCTGGGAGGGCACCGGCCGCTGCTGGCCCAGAGGGGAGGGGGGAGGCGTGGACCGTCTGGGGAGCCCTGCGGCCAACGCCCTCTTTCCCCCCTTGGCTTCTCAGGGCTCTTCAACCTGCGGCAGATCGTCTTGGCCAAGGTCGATCAGGCGCTTCACAGGCAGCCGAAAGCGGATCCCGCCGAGGAATACGCCCGGCTCTGTGAGGAGATCCTGGGGGTCCCAGCCACGCCGGGTGAGAGGCAGGGAGGAGAGGTCGCAGGCAGCCGGGCATGCTCAGAGCACTTGCCCTTCCCCCTCGCCCCCCCCCCCGCTTTGGGGGGATTTGGGAAGCAGGCCGGCATCATTTCTCTCCTTGCAGAGGCACAGCAGGCGAATCCATGAGGGCGGTCTGTGTGTGTGTGTGTGTGTAGGGGGGCGTTTTCTGCCAGGAGGTCTGGTTTGTGGGGGACCCCACTGGGTGGCCCCTTCCTCGGGCCCGTCTAAAACAAAGCCACCCTCTGGGGGGAGCCGGGGGGAGCCGGGGGGAGGAAACCTCCCGGTCCCAGTGGAGGGGTTGGCGCCTTTTCCCCTCCCCCAATGCTGAGCCGGGCCTGAGGCTGCCCTCTTTCCCCTCGGCCTCAGGTACCAACATGCCGGCCACCTTCGGCCACTTGGCAGGAGGCTACGACGCCCAATACTACGGCTACCTGTGGAGCGAGGTTTACTCCATGGACATGTTCTACACCCGCTTCAAGCAGGAGGGAGTCATGAACTCTAAGGTACGGAAAGCCCCTCCCTCGCAGCTGGGGAAGACCCCCCCCTCCTGCCTGCCGAGGGGAGGACCCCCAGACGGAACCCCTCTTGCTCTTCGCAGGTGGGGCTGGACTACCGGAACTGCATCCTGCGGCCAGGCGGGTCAGTGGACGCTGCGGAGATGCTGCTCCAGTTCCTTGGAAGGTCCCCCACCCAGGACGCCTTCCTGGAAAGCAAGGGGCTGGCCGTGGCCCCCGGCCCCCTGCCCTCGGCGTGCTGAGCGCCTGCTGCCCCTCCGTGGGACAGCCGGGGACATGGCCCTCTCCCGGGGGCTGCCCCTGTGGTAGATTTAGTGGTGTGCTTGGATTGAAGCTGCCCCCCCCCCACTCGTGTCACGGGGAGGGGGGGGGAAAGCATGATTAAACGGCTTTCTCACCCGCATTCTGTGGTGGCAGTACTGAAAAGGGCGCTGGGGGCTGTCGGCATGCGAGGGGTGGACGGAAGGCGCCTCACTTCAGACCAGCAGCTTCTGGGGAGAATTTCTGCTCTTTCCACGGGGGAAGGGCGGCGTTTGGGTGCCCTGGGATCTTGCCCCTCTGAGCCAGGGGTCTGCCCCCACCTCAGGCCAGCTTCAACCTGGTCTCCCTGGGGCTCTGTGGGTTCCCAGGTGGGAGGGAGTCTCTCCTGAGGGGCGCAGAGCCCTCCGGGAACAGGAGGCAGCCCCACGGCCTGTGATGCTGGCCTGGGAAGGGCCAACGGGGACAGTGGGAGCGAGGGGTGGTTTGCAAGGGCTGGCATTTTCCTTCTGCCCGGACAGGCCTGATCTTTGGATGAGTCCAGCAGTTCCCACCTGTCCGACAGCCGCAGGGCAGATGCTGGCCAGGGCGCCCGGCGTGAGGCTGTGGCCGTGTGAAGCCAGACTCGGAGGGAGGGAGGGGGTCCACATTGGGCCGGTGGGGATCTCAGCTCCAGGCAGCCGGTCTTTGGTGCCTCAGCCGCTGCCCCGGTTGCAGTCCTGGAGGGGGGAGGGCAGAGAGGCCCCCCTGGGGGCCCGTGAGAGGCTCCAGGGCACCCTGCCAGCCTGCCTGCCTGCCTTTGCCTCCCTCCTGGGCCTCCGTTGCCTGGGGCAGACTCGGCCTCTTCCTGTTGCAAACGGCTGCTCGCTGGGCTCTGCTACTGTCCTTTGGGGCTTGGGGTGGGGGTCCTGCTGGCTGCTGTGGCAGTGGGGGCCTCCCAAGAGGTCTGCCTTGCATGGGAGCAGCCCAGTGGACAGAAGGAGCTCAGCTCATCTGCCCCTCCCTCTTTGCCTCACAATTGGTCACAGAAGGAGGAGAAGAGAAAACCGGTGCCTGGCACCAACTAGGAGGCCTCCTTCCAGGCAGCTGTTTTGGGGAGAGGCAGGAAGGAATGGCTGACCCAGATTGGGTCCTGCAGAACGGAAAGTGGCTGCCAGGGAAATGGGCAAACCCGGCTGGGCCTTCCTCGGGTCGTGCGAGGGGTCTGGATTCAGCCCCCCCCCCCCCCCCAGTTGCACATCGGCTTCCATCATGAATGGATTTTCCAGAGGACCCAGCAAGCCCCAACCGCCGCTTCCTGTGTCCAGAGCATGATGGTAACTTAAGGAGTCCTGGATCTCGTCTGAGATACACCTTGTCCTAGGGGGCCTCTTTCTCGGGGTGGGGGAGGGGTAACATCTGGCAAGGGGTGCAGTGGGCCAGCGGTCTTGGAAGCTCAGTTCTGGGTGGCTGACACCACGAAGGCCTTGCTCCAGTCTCAGAGAATGGCAGCAGAGATCAAATGGCCCGGAGGATGAACAGGTCAGCAAATAGTCCATTCAGTGCCCCGCCAGCCCCTCCTCCAGGGAACCATCTTGTCCTTAAGGCTTCGCAGACGCTTGCAGTTGGGGTGCCAGGAGGGGTCTCTGGTTAACTTTGCTGGCGCTCCGGAGGGGCTGCAGAGGAGGGTCTCGCCAGCTGACCCCCTGGAGCAAAACCAAAAGGAGATTTGGCGTGAGGGGTGTGGCCCCCTCCCCCAGCCAGGTGCAGTCAGTGGATTGTCAACCAGCCAAATTACCAGCCAAAGTGTCGGTTTCCAGCACCATCTTTTCAACCCTCGAAAGTCTTTTGTCCTGCTGGTTCCAGACGTCCTAAATGGCAACATGGCTCTTTTGAGGAAACCCAGGCTGCCTCCCCTGGGAGGTATCATTCCCACATTCCCACTCACGCCCTCGTCACCTCAAGGCTGGATTACTGTAACGCGCTCTACATGGGGCTGCCCTTGAAGAGTGTTCGAAGACTCCAGTTGGTCCAGAATGCAGCCGCACGAGCGATTATGGGTGCACCCAGGTACACCCACGTCACACCCATCCTCCGCGAGCTGCACTGGCTGCCCATCGGTCTCCGGACGCGCTTCAAGGTGCTAGTCNCCGGCAGGTGTACGACGCCGTGGGGGCCCTCCAGCGCCCCGAGGTCTCCTACCAAAACACGCTGCGCGCCCTGGCAGCCGCCGAGCTGGACTACACAGGTGGGCGCGGGCAGAACCCAGGCGGCGCGGAACACGGGTGGGCGCTGGTGGGCGCGGACAGGTGGGCCCGGCGGGGGGGGCCGCTAGAGAGCGCGGCACACGAGTAGGCAGGGACAGGTAATCCGAGCGGGGGGCACCCAGATGGGCAGGGGGCGCTAGTGGGCAGGCGGGCAGCGCAGCACACAAGTGGGCCCGTGGGGCTAGTAGACAGACAGGTAAGCCGGGCAGAGGGCAGACAGGTGGGCCAGGGGCGCTGGTGGGTGGGGACAGGTGAGCTGGGGGGGTGCCGGTGGATCCCCCCCCTGACGCAGCCTGAGTGCCCCCTCCCCCCCCTGCAGTGCAGCGGAATATGCTGGATTTCCCGCAACACGTCTCCCCCAACCGGGAGATCCGCACGGCCAGCACCGAGGCGGACAAGCAGCTCTCGGAGTTTGACGTGGAGACCAGCATGCGGCAGGACGTCTACCAGCGCATCACCTGGCTGCAGGTCGGTTGCCGTCTCTGCTGGTTCTGGGCCCCGCCTGGCCCTCCCCGGCCCAGGGCAGAATCAGGGATGGCCCAGACTGGCCCTGACAAAGCCGGACAGGGCGGTGTGTGCGGCCCTGAGCCAAGAGCCCTCGGCCACCGGAGAAGCTGTAGTCGCCCCTCTCACAGCCGTCTCTGCGGGAGCCTGTCACCCCTGCCCCGATCTCCATCCCAAGCGCCCCCCACCCTCCCATTCTCTGGGCCTCGTGGCTCTTTTAGCTGCTCCTCCTCCTCCTCAGCCTTTCTCATGCCCAGCGGCCATCGCAGCCCTGGACAGGTGGGGGCCGGAGATTGGCAAGCACTCCAAGGGGCGGCCCCGGGCGGGTGGGGTCTCCTGCTCTGCCAGAAACCCCTTTCCTTCCCCAGGAGAAGCTGGACGGCGCTTCCCTGAAGCCGGAAGCCAAGCGCTACTTGGAGAGGCTGGTCAAGCTGGGCCAACGGAGCGGCCTCCACCTGGCCGGGGAGGTGCAGGAGGTGAGGAGGCTGCCCACCCTCCGATCCCTGGCAGGGAGGCTTTTAAGGCAGGGCGGCTGCTTTGGAAGCTTCCCTTGGGGGGAGGGGGGGTGGGGGGGCCGCTCACGTCGTTTCCTCCCTTTCCCAGAAAATCAAGGAGATTAAGAAGAAGCTGAGTGTTCTCTGCATCGACTTCAGCAAAAACCTCAACGAAGACGCCACTTTCCTGGCTTTTACCCGGGAGGAGCTGGGTGAGGCTGCGGCGAGAGGCCTGGCGGCCATGGTGGGGAGGGGCCTGGCCGCGGCCGGTGGGCTGCCACGTGTTCCCTTCAGCGAGGGCCAGGGGCCCCGTTGCAGCCGTCTCAGGGATAAGAGTTGGCCCAAGGAAGGTTCCTCACAGGCTCAGCGCGTCTGTCTGAAGCCAACAACGTCAATTGGGAAGCTTGTAAACTTCCACCGTCCAGCACTGNTCCATATTCCGCTCCCCCCCTCCCCAGCCTCTCACCTCCTGCAGCCGCCTCTGCATGTACTGGGTGAAGAAGAGAAGGATGCGCCTCTTTGGGGCCAAGCAGGGTGGCACCTCTCGCCACCCAAAGGACACGGCCGCCTCCACCTCACTGCAGTAGCGGATGCGTCTGGGGGGGGAAACCAAAGGGGGCATTGCCCAAATGTAGGCCGGGCACCCGAAAGGACCCCCGCTGGAGCAGCTGCAGACAGGAGGGACCAGGCCAGGCCTCTGAAGCACCCTGGGGGGGGGGCTTCTCCCCAGGATCACGACTGGGGGCTCCCCGAGACCCCCCTCCAGGGGCTCCTGCCCTCATGCAAACCAGGCACGGCACGGTTGTGCCTGACTCACAAAGGGCCCACTCACTGGCGCTGGGGGCAAAGGGCCATGTGGGTCCCATCGGGGAGCAGCACCGCAGTCGAGCCATTGGAGAGCAGGTAGCCAAACCCGTACTTGTTGGAGTAGTCCACCCACTTGGTGGCCATGTGGGCAGGATGGGCACCGCGCAGGCCTTCGGGCAGCTCTTCCACTGCAGAGAGAGGTGCCCTGCTCAGCCCGGGCGGGAGGGAGGCGCGGCACCCCCTGCTCCCCCATCCCGCCCCTGTTGGGTTTCCAGTCCTACGAGATTCGGAGCGGTTCTATGGTGGAGCAAGAAAATGCCCACGGAGGCTCTGTGCCAAGGAGAGCACCGGAGCTCCTCCCCTGGTTATGGTGCCCGGCCACCCCTTCCTAGAAGGGCAGGATTCACTTCCTTACCTACGCCATGTAAAACGACCTTGGCTTGCAACAAATACGAGTATAAAACTCTGAAGCCTTTCCTGCCACTCGGTGCCCACGCAAAAGCCGGGTCTTCGGCTCCTTCTGGAGGGGGGGGAGCTGGGGGCAGCCTCAGAGCGGTCTCACCCTCCCCCAGGGCTGCCAGATGATGACACGGAAGGGAGGGGAGCTGGCACAGCATGGCCAGAGGGGTGGAAGCCCCTTGGGTGGCTGGGCCCCACCTTCGGGCTAGTCCCTCCAAGGGAGGCAGAAGATAAGGCAGACCCCAGGAGGATTGGGGGGCAGGCAGCAGCCTTACCCAGGGGGGCCGTCTGCAAGCAGTGGCACAGCCTTCGGTCTATGCTCTCCAGCACTCTGCCAGGGCCCCAGGTGGCATCTGCCAGGGAGGGAGGGAAGGGAGAGAGAAACAGCGATGGAGGCGTTTGCTTTCCCTGGCATCCCCGCTGCCCCCCCCCTGCGCCCCCACTCACCTTCAGGCAGCCGACTGCGCAGGGAGCCTCTTTGGAGCAAGAGTGGGGAGAGGCAGCTGGGGTCCTCCATGGGGTCCCTGCTCCCCTCTTTGGCTTCCTCCTTCGGGGCCTTTGGGGAGCAGCATGAAAGCAACCCGGGAATCCCACAAAGCAGGGATGTTGAAGCTAAATGCCCCCCCCCACAACTGCCCTCCAGGTGTGACTTTTGGGAGCAGCCCTCCCCCACCCGGAGCCTCTGGAAAGGCCGGGGGAGGGGGGAAGGCCGGGGGAGGGGGGGTGCCATGCCGGGAGAAGCCAGGTGGGTGCTGGCAGGGCGCCAGAGGAGATGCTCTCAAGAGACCCCACCAACACCCTGGCAAAGGCCGCCTGGGGGGCCCCCAATCTAAGCAGAGGTGGTGGAACAACGTCGCTGGAGAAGACCCTGATGCACGGGGGGGGGGGGCTTTCTTACCAAGTGGGGAGGGGCAACAGGTCCCACGCTTTGCGGCTGTGGCATCTCCTCCTGTTCTTGGGCTGCAGGGCTCACTGGACGGGGGGGGGGAGCAGTAGAGGAACACGATTAGTACACTGAGGACTAGAAACCTAGTTTACCCGCAAAGGGGCTGGGAGAAGGGCAGGAGAATTGGCCCCCCTTGCCGCTCTCCTCCCCCTCCCCCTGCCGATCCCCTCTCCCCCTCCGCTGCCTTCTCCTCCCAAGAGCACTCACCAGCCTGGGGGTCTTGGCAAGGGAAGCCTCGGAAAAGGAGCATGGCTGATTTCCGGAAGAATTTTCCAAGCGGGTTGGCGAAAGGAAAAATGGGGGTAGAACGACAAGCCCGCGAGGGGAGCCTGGCTGGGGTGAAGTGCTGGGGAGAGAGGCAGGACGGAAGCCGAGTTACGCTCCTGCCCAGGACCCTCCAGGAGGAGGGATGGGGGTCCCGAGTCCTTCTGGGGGGGGTCAGGCAGGTGAGGTCAGGGGGCAGAATCTGTGGAGGGGCTGGGGGTGGATGGATTACTAGCCCCACACTCTGCCTGGGCAGCCTCGGGGACTAACCAGGGGGCACCAGGAGAGTTCGGAGGGGGGGGCTGGTCAGATGGCATCAGCTCACCTGCTGGAGGCTCTTTGGTGCTCTGGACCCCAACCCTGGAGTCCTTCTGGGCACCCCTGACTCAAGCTGACCCCAGTAATTCCCTCCCCAGAAAGCCCCCCCCCCCAAGCCACCCACTCTTGAGGGAACCCAGCACAGCCCTCCTGCCCCTTCAGCCCCGGGACGGCTGCCTTGCGAGGGGAGGGGCAGCCAGGAGGAGACCCTCTCTGGGTCAAGCTTCCTCCAGGCTCCACCTGCCTCCCAAATTCTAGAAGGGCAGAGAAGGCGCTTCTGACGAGGATTTTGAATCCTATGCGGACTTTTCTGTTCATCCCGTTTTCATTCTGCTGGCTTTGACTGATTGAATATTGCTTTCATTCAGGTTTAGAGAATATTTTATAGCATCCTTATTATTATTATTATTATTATTATTATTATTATTATTATTATTATTATTATTATTATTATTGCCTATCGCCTTCCAGGGAGTTCCTTGGGTCCCCCAACTGGAGCGGCCCATGGCTTTGCCAACTGAGGAGGGAAGGAGCGAGGGGGGATCTCTGTGGAGGAGGAAGTGAATTCCTTCCAGCCCCGAGAGCCTCAATCAACCGAGGGGAAGCCGGTCTTCAGAGCAGCCGTGTCCTCTCCAGGGGGGCTGGCTGCAATCAGGACACCATCACACCACCCTCCCACTTCCTCCCCCCCCCCCCCGCTTTGCCCTCCTTACTCCGAAGGGCAGCCAGACACACCTGGGTGAAGAAGGGGTCGCCGAGCACTTCTTCCAGGCTGGGGCGGCCAGACGGGTGGGGGGTCAGCAGCCTCCCAATCAGGCTGCGGGCGGCTGGGGAGAGGTGGCTGGGAAAGTGGTAGCGCCCCTCTCGGATCCTCTGGAACAGTTCCTGCTTCTGTGTGATCTCAAAGGGGGGGAAGCCGGCAAGGGCGGTGTACCTGGGGAGCCAAAGGACAGGCAGATGTGCCCTGAGCCCCCCCCACGGCCAGCAGACCCCCCCCCCCGAGTGCTGCCCAGGCTCCCCCCTCCTTTGCTGTGGGACTCACGTACATGATGCAGCCCAGGGCCCAAATGTCTGACTTGAAGGAGTGCCCCTTCTTAGCGATGACTTCGGGGGCCAGGTAATTGGGGGTCCCACAGACCACCCTGTAGAGGAGAAAGTTGAACTCAGAAATGCACATGTAGCTCCTGGCAGGGTGAGGAGGGGGGGGTCAGGTTCCCGATAACAGAACCGGTTAAGCACATGGGGGGGGGGTTGCTGGAGGAGGAGGAGGAGGAAGGTTCAATTGGGGGAGGGGGGGGTCCAGAGGGCAGGTGGGGCTGGCCTATTCTGGCACGTAGGAACCTCCCTGCCCTCCGAGGCTCCCGACTGGCAGAGCCGCTCAGTGGCTTCCCAGGCAGCCCTCAGATCTGGCAGATGAACCTGGGCATGGGTCTCCAGGTGGAAGGGGCTGCTCTGCCCACTGAGATTGGCCCAAGGGCACCACCCTGCTGGGCCTGACCCGCTTCTGCCAAACACCTCCCCCCAGGGGTCCTGCCCCTCCCCTTCAATCCCACACTCACCCTCTCTTCCAGCACGCCCGCTCCTCCCGCGTTGCCAGGCCGAGGTCGCCAATCTTCACCTGCATGCGCTCGGTGATGAACACATTGCCTGGAAAGGGCGCATGTGGGGCACGGAGCGACTGAGGGCCGCGTCCCGACGGTGCCCGCAAAAGTTCGTCCTGCCTCCCCTAGACCTTCCCTGGCCCTCGGCAACCCCGGGGGGCTCCCAGCACCCTCAGCCGCAAAGGTGGAGCTCCTGAAAAGGGTCCCCTCCCTCCCTCCCCCGTGTGACCTGATCTTTGTCCCCCCCCCCCAGGAGGAGTGGCCTGGGCAGGGTGGCCCCTCCAGCCTCTGGCAACCAGGAAGGCAAAGTAGCTGCCCAGCTGCAGCCAGCTTGCAAGAAGCATGCAGGTCGTCCTTGGTCTGTTTCCTTTTTATCCCATTTGCCGTTTCCTTGACTGGATTCCCCCCCC